TATGATGGCTTTGGTTGGTTGTTCTTTTTCACTGTACGGCCGCAGACACATTCTGACAGCACTTCAGACAGCAGCTTTGTGCCCCGCCAGCTGCTTGTTCCATGCCTACCATGGTGTTTTTGTACAGACAGCACTTCAGACAGCATTATGCTGTAGTCGGCAATCTTCCGTTTTGGTATAGAGTGGGACAGGGAGGGGGTGATGCTACTGTAGTCGAACGGTGGGACGGACGTGCAGTTCAGTTTTTGGGCACGCATACGGTGCTGCAGGGATTTTTAGGTGTGCCTCTTCGGGCTCTTGCATACCTTTTTCTCGTCAGATGTGTGCGTGTTCTTTAGATCCTCAGATGGCTCTAGCACTTTCGTGACCACGGGCTGAGAGTCTTTGCTAGATTTTGGCATTTAGCAACTGACATACGGTTTAATGTGAAGACAAACAACAAACAACAACAACTCATGACGAAAAGATACTGAACTTCAGGTTCCGTAAGATACCACCCCCCTTGAATCGAGCTCAAAGGTTGATTACTCCACGACGAGAAGAGAATGCTATGTTCACATGATTGCAGATTCGAAAGCTCTCGACGAGACGTTTTCAGCACCGCCGTTTTCGGCAATACACAGCGGTTTGTGCTGCAAGCAGTTATCGGGCTTTGCAAACGGGAATCTACCCTGTAGTTCTCGGTGCAGTATAATAGTTATTTCTTGGAGATCGATCCTTGTGGCCGAAACAAGAAAAATGCAACGCTAGCTGTGACCGGGAACAGTAAAAAAGATGGTGGGTTCTTTGCAAAACACACGGACAGACATCAGCAGCGTAGGGATCATGAATGAATCGAAGAAAATAAAGTGAGAGCCGTCTACAGGAGGTCTACCCCACATGACATTGTTGGCAAGGTATGGGTGGATGGATGTAACACGTCAATCTCAACAAAAAAAGGCTGGCAGCAACAGAGCAGTGACACAAACATAACATATTTTCCCCCAATTGAAGAGATGATCCAAACTACAGTGTATGCTGTTTTCAATTAATTCGTTTTTTGCGTGTTTGAGGGCTATAATGACCCGAGGCGTTATTTGTTGTGTTCAGCGACCGAAAGCTTCAAAGGGTAACAGGTCAAACACTTGAAACAGTCCAACCAGAAAAGGCGCGGTCGGCCCGCAAACATCCTGCAAAGGGAAACCGGTGTATTTACTGCTGGTTCCCGCTCCGCATCAGCACTCTGTATTTCGTGCTTCGCTCGGCCGTTCTCTCCCATCGCAAATCCTGCCACACACTACCGAGAAGGGCACGAACACCACCCGTAAGCATGCCGACACCAACCACCACCGCCACCTGCGCGCTTACTGGTACGTACATAGGCTGCAACTGCAACGCAACACACCGAACGCTTCCATGCAGCACGCCAACAAACTCACGCTTCCCCGGCCTCAACATTAAGCTTGGCATTCCCAAACCCCCACTTCCCCGAAAGTTTCCGTGACTCCTTTCTCAGAGGCAGTAGTACATAGTCTCCCCCTCGGCCCGGTTACCATGCAATAAAAGACGTGCAGGACACCAAGCATACCGGAAGCCAAACGCGAAACGCGAGCAATGTGCCACGCTTATAACTCCTAATTAAAGCTTCCCTGTCCTTCTACACCGACGCAAACACGTGGTGCGCAGGTAATGCCTTTGCCCCGACCCGTGTACAGCGGTCTCGATACCGCTGTCCCTTCGCCCTTCCAACAAATCGAAACCGAACCACTGTGCTCCCGCGCTGCTGCCTCGGGCCTGCTCAGACCCAGCAACACAGGATGGAACAGCGCTCGAGCCATCGCCGACACCGGCGCCTGGCGTCGACTCCACCACATTCCGTAGAACACTTGGCGTCGCCGTCATCTAGCCGACGGGAGGTCCGTCCGGGATAAAGACCGTGATGCCATCGAGGTCCCTGGAAAGCTTGACCTGGCACCCCAAGCGGGATGACCCCGGCGCATACAGCTCCCCCTTTCTCTGGGACACACAGACAAAAAAAAAAAACGAAACACGGCGAGAGAAAGGGGTTCGAAACGGCGGTGGAAAAGCATACCGCTGGTAACTGCGCCAAGCAGTAGAGCTGTGCGACATCAACCAAACTGCTTGGTTACAGCTGTTGGCGACATCATGTAAGAATGTGGTGGTGAGACTGACAGCTTCTTCATTGGTTATTCAGGGCAATAACGTCGATGCTCGCGAAGAGAAACACGCACACGCGCGGGTTTTTCCTCTCCCACCCGCACTAACGCGTGGACATCGACTGGGAACCTTGTTTCAGACGGTCGATGTGCTCAAACAAAAGGCCCATACCACCACTCCTTCTCTTGGTGCATGTGTTGGTCCGTGTGCCACGCACACGACCAGACACACCAACGCACGCACCTCCAGGAGGCTGATCTCGCTGTCAAGGGGTGGCTCTATTTTTCCCGTGAACTCCTTGGTGAGCATGACGTGACAGCTTGCGCACACGGGGCCCTGGCCGAACAAATCTTCCTGGAGTAACCGACGATTCGAGGTGGGGATGTACAGAGGGAGAGGGAAAGAGAGGAAAGATAGTGGGGGGCAGGGAGAGATGGAGGGAGGGGGGCGGGGGGGGGGGGGG